TCAAGCTTTAGAAAAATTCCCTGTCTCCCTGTTGCTGGTCTCCCTTTACTCCTTCTCCAAATCATCACTTTTTTCTGCCCACTCTCCCTGTTTCTATCAAGGTCCATGAGGAATAGAGAAAGAAAGGGAAGGGAAGGGATGAAGATGAAAAGTGGGAGAAGTGGGGAGTTGGAAAGAGAGAAGGTAGAGAGGAGAAAGGTGAAAAGGAAAGAGGAGGGATAGGGGTAGGAGGATGGTTGTGAAAGAAGGGGATTTGATAAATGATTTCGGTATTAAACCAAATTAAGAGTTAATCCCAAAGAATCCTATATAATAAAAGGCCAGCAACCATAACGGCATAACGACCAGAACGACAGATCGACCAGTCGCTATGAGGTACATTGATCACCTCTCGGTCTCTCCCCACATCCCACAGGCTCTGATCACTGGATGGCCAATGGGGAACCACAGGGAACCGGGGTAGGCGACAGTGGGGCAGGACTGGGGACTGGTGAGTGGGCAGAAGATGGTCCTGATTGCAGGCTAGGCCTAGGGACCCTACCCTTGCACGATTTTGTGCGCTGGGCCTCTAGTGATGAATAAGATTATTGGTACAATGCATTCCTATAGAGGTTAAGATTCTGGTTTCTACCCAGATATCCCTGGCTGATTATTTTTAAATTTTCATTAAAGAATCTTGCCTAGCTAAGAGATGAAGTTTGCTTTTTATTTTTGTCAAATTACTTTTTAAACTTGTAATTATAGGTTCTTTTCAGAAAGCTCTGCAGGATTATTCATGCATTTATTCAACACATATTTATTGAGCAGCCAGGAAATATGTTAGATGCTAGAAATACAAGCATCCCTCTATTTCAGGTCCCACTTCCTATCAGTGCTTCTATCTAACAGTCACTATACTCAGATACACATATACACGCACATGCCAACACATCAACATTCTGTCTGTCCAGATCCTACCCCGTATTTTTTCAACCATCCACCTCAGCAAGAAAAAGTAGTATAGACCCGTAAGATCCAATATGATAGGTTTCTTTTTACTACTTTAATTAATTTTGTCATCTTTATCCTCAACCATATTCAAGAGTCTCCAATTCCCAACTGTCCCTCATAACTCCCTTGCCCTTTTTTCTCCTCCACCCTTCTCTGCTCCTTCTGACCCCATAGCTATCATTGCTACTTCCCAGAACCGCATGAGTTTATTACTATATCCTGCTGTAAGCTCTTTCCTCCTCATTCCCACCTCTCTGCTTGAAATATCAGGAAATGATCTTCCAGCTAACTGGACTTAATGATTTGATGAATAATTTCTAATGGAGGGATTTTTTGGTTGCCTGCCCAGCATGGAAGGAGCTTAGACATTGCTACTCCATGCTAACAACAAGTAAAAGTCTGACCAAACTGAAAAAATCCATATCTTCTTAGAGTCATCAGTGAAGTAAGTCACAGGGAAAACCTATGCCCCTAAAATTGGAGAGACAGACAGGCAGATAGAGAAAATGATAACTCTCCAGAGCAGGAGCCTACACACAGAAACCTCTATGACAGTGATGGCGAACCTATGACACGCGTGTCAGAGGTGACACGCAAACTCATTTTTTTGGTTGATTTTTCTTTGTTAAATGGCATTTAAATACATAAAATAAATATCAAAAATATAAGTCTTTGTTTTACTATGGTTGCAAATATCAAAAAATTTCTATATGTGACACCGCACCAGAGTTAAGTTAGGGTTTTTCAAAATGCTGACATGCCGAGCTCAAAAGGTTCGCCATCACTGCTCTATGAGAACCACTACTGGGGTAGGAAAACCTGAATTGCAATTGATCATTTTGGGGACAAGTCTGAG